TTTTGTTTGGGGGGGGTTCGGGTTTTTTTTTTTTTTGTAGGGGGGGGGGGGGGGGCAGAAGGCAGCGCCTTTCATCGCCATGAAAAAGGTACGGATGTTTGGGGTTGGATCGATCGATGTGAGGGGTGATACATACGACACCGCCACGGAAAAATACCACGTAACCAACTTTTCGTGACGTTTGCGTTGGGGGCGTGCATGTAGTGCAGCGGCGACTGACAACCTACCTCCCCCCCCCCCAACGAAAAAATACAAACACAAACCGGCAAGCCATGCACAACTATCTCCGGCGACCAAAACCATAGCCACAACCAACGGCGACGACTCACCTTGAGGCTCGAATAGCCCCCCCCGCCGTCCTCCTCGTCGCTAGAGAGCAGGGCGTAGCTCTGGCTTTGCTTCAGCAGCTCCGCGTTCGTGGGCTGCCGCTGCTGCTGTTGCCGCTGCAGCGCGCGGCCGCCCCCCCCTGCCCCGCCCCCGGAGGCTCCAACCCTGTCGCAAAAATGGACGCAATGTGGCGATTGCCCGCATTAGGGCGCAAGGACAGGTGCGTTCGAGCTACGCTATTAAAACGCTACAGCGAGCAGGGGGTGTGGGCACAGCATCGGGAGAGGGACGAACGAAGCCCATGAAGACCCTGCAAAACTTCGCAAGTCCTTCGTCCGACACCGGAGGAACCAGAAGAGTCGTACCTACACGAGAAACAGTCCGCAGATACCAAGTAACCGTCCAGCAGCAGCATCCATACACACGTCGATCTGCAGGAGAAAAACTCCACACACGCCAAGTCTCCGCTTAACGCCAGCATCTATACATACATACATCGATCTACACGAGAAACACTCCATCACAGAGGCACCAAGTCTTCAGCAACGCACATGAGACTGTATACAGACTTGTACACTTTTCTTTTTGGTTCGGTGAACTTCGTTGGGCTCTTCGAGTATAAAACACGTCAGCTGGATGACCTGTTCGAAGGTGGGAAACGTCGCTGAAGGCAGCTGACCAACACCAACATACCGGTATGCTTACTTTCATCTCGCATCATGTCTTGATGGCACTACTGCCTTAGCCCAGCCCTGCTGAGCCCACTCCGGCGGCGCGCCGCCTTGTGTATACATACGTACCTGGTCATGAGTTCCGCCGCGAAGGCTCGCGAGGTGGCGTTCGCGGGCACGTCCAGGTCTGACAGTCCCGCCAACAGTGCCGCGGCACCCTTGCCGGACTTGGACGCCCGCCGCGCCAGGGCCAAGACGAACTGCGCCGTGGAGCTCTCGCTGAAGCCGACCACGTCGTGGAGCTTGTCGGACACCCATTGCAGCAGCTCCCGATCGCCCATGGTTGCTTCTCCGTAGATGGTGTTGTACTGTAGGTGGATGCAGGTGTTCGGGGGGGGGCGGGGGCGGGGGTTCCAATGGGGGGTCATGGGGTCATCATAATGATGATGTGTGCGTTGGTCGGGCTATTCGTTTCCTGACGTTATGTGTACAGCCCCGCGGCTGCGCATTCCCGGAGAATATAATCAGCGGAACAAGGGGCATTGCAAGCCGGCCTTGTACAAAGCACGCGCGTTTGGCCACCTCAACGAGCTGGTGTGTAGCCCGATGCCGCTCGTCGATGGTACAACATTAAGCAATCGGCCGGCAGCACGAGGGTGCACAGGTTGGAAAGCGAACCTACAGCAGTTGGAACCCTGCTATCAAGAAAATAGTGGTTTCCGATGTGGGGGCCACTACTGTTGCATGGTACCCACGGTAGAGCAGGTCGAACACTCGCTCAAAAATTATGTAGATGCTACTGTCGTGGAGCCGTGGTCGTTGTACCCAGGGGCAAGAACATAGTTTGATCTACAGCATGCAAAACTTCCCTGGATCAACAACCAGAAGCAAGATCTCATCTCCAGCCTGGTGATGGAATGAAACACATATTGCTCCCCTTCCCGCAGTATTGAACCCCGCATTCAACGAAGCTAAATCCATGCGGGAAGTGCGGGGCATACCATACGGCGCCTGTGCTATTAAATCAGCGGGCAGTCGCTGAAAACGGCAACAGCGACTTGAGTGCATGGAATGGACGTTGAAAAGCTCCAATTCCGAGAGCCAGATTCTCCCTCCAAACGATCAGTGGTAGCATGGCTACAACCCAAAGTATCGTATTTTGCTTCGTCGTTAGTGCAATACCACCCGGCGAGTATCTGCACGACCGCAGATGCTCGATCTACGATAGCTGCTGCTGTATGGTCGTCCGGTCAGACCTCAGGGACACAAGCTGCTGGATTGCTAAAGGAAAAGCTTGTGAAGACTCACCACCAGGATATCCAGACAGCTAGAGAAGGTAACAGGCACACCTCCCAGCGCTCTCCCAGGCTTCGGTACTTGTCGACGTGCCCCCCCCCCTCTCTCTCCCCTGCTGTTGCACAAGGCACAGGGCAACAGACAAGAGAGCGAGCGGTGTTGGGGGTGACGCAGAATGAGATGCAACAACGACGACATAACCCGCTAGTTTCAGGGGCTCCGGAAATCGGGGTGCGAACCGCTCTCCCTTGGCAGCGGGCGACGCACGGCAGGCACTGGCAGGTACTACTGCCGTACACCGCTGACAGAGAAGGAGATTGGCGTCGTTGGGTGCGTGTGTCGAGGAAGGCACGCAACCCCGTGGCACTCGGGCTCTGTGCCCTGCACAGCAGTTTATATCTAATTTGAGGTCCTCTCTGGCCCGGAAGCTTCTGTGGGTACAACAAGATCAAACCGGGCAACGGCCACTGTTCGGATTCCGCCGACATTCCTCACTTTCTCTGCCATCTGCCACCGCAACCGGCGCTCGCTGGTTGGGAGACTGATCTCCAGGGCTGGAGCTCTTTGGGAGCGAGGGTAAGGGGCGTAGAACCCCGGAAGAGCGGGCCAAGGCAGTTTCGCAAGACACCTGGCAGAGCTCGTATAGTCAAACTGCCGTGGCGAACCTTGGGTGTGTGACGGTTGATGGACGAGCTAACGATGCGAGCGACAACACATCGGGATCGAGAGCATCGGCGGCAGCCGGGGGGCTTCCCAACTTGTCGTTGCTCGACAGGGAGAGGGAGGAGGAGGAGGAGGTTGCCCACAGCAGCAGCAGCAGCAGCAACATCAGTGTCGTTGTTTCTGTCAGCGCTGTTGCTGGACGCGGCGGTTGCGGCAGGGGATTGGTGGAAACCGGGGCCTGGCGTGAGCTGGCAGGTGAGGATGCTTCGGGGTTACTCTCCGATAGCCGCAGCAGTAGTCCCGCTCACCGCCATGCTCGCTGGTGCCTGCTGTAGAAGGTCAGCCCCAGCAACGTATCTCGCCGCACGGCGCACAGCAAATTACATGCATTATTTCAGGAGAAGAACATGCGTGTTTGCCCGTTGAATTTCAGAACTCGTGCGCGGAAGGGCCGCTCTGTATCATCTCCGTATGCATACATGCATGGTACGCCGACCGGAGATGGGACTAATGCTTAGTCGGCGTGGAAGGTGGTTACGACGCCTGCACGCAACACCCAAACACTAGCTAAGGCCGTATTTGTGTTGCCTTTGGATCCACGCCCCTGCTGGCACCTGCTTCCTTCGCGTGGAACAAGGGCCGAGAGGCTGCGGAGGTTTGGGCCAGCTTGTTGTTTCGTTGAGCCGCAGACTACGTTCTGCCGCTCGTTCCAAAGCTCGAAAGGACATATGCACAGCACGCGTGTACCATAGACTTTGTAGCAAGTCTCCCATCTTTACGCTTCGGTGCTTCCGACCAGCCAACGTTCAAGCCCGATCATGTTGTCGAGTGTTCACCAGCGAAGAGGGTGTCGCGTGAAGAACAAGCCTTGCCATGCCCTACGAGATAGGGCGGGGTAATAAGCAGAGTACCTTGCAGTAGTCTAGCTGCAATACTGCTGTGCGATGTAGAGCCCCGTTAGTCGTCTAGCTAGGTTCGCCAGCCACAGGCATGCAACAGGTCTTGTGTGTTTGCCGACGTGAAGGTGGCCCTGTGGGGTTTGTTTGTTAGTCCGTTGATGCCACCCACTGGCGAAGAACCAAATCAAACATGAAGTCTTTCCGGCGGGCACAAGTAGAGTGCGGACGCAACTACGCATTTGCTGGGAGGAGGCACTGTATTTTCCTGTAACAAGCAATTCACACCGCCGCAGAGCACCAGCGGCAGCGTAGACAAGGCATCGCGACAGGCAGTGCGGCAGGCTCACAACAATCCCGCCACACACTCAATCGTCTCAACCCTGGCGAGTTTCTCACGGGCATACAGCAAGCACTTCGTACGTTATTCCCCGAGCAACAAAGAAAAAACGTTGACGTCAATTTTCACGCAAGAGAGGCTCGGCAGCAGCAACAGCAGCAGGCAGGAGGCTTTGCCGCAATTAACGTTTGTCTTCGAAGACAGCAGCTTGGCGTAAGCAACGTGATGAGCCGATCCCGGGCAACTATCATGAGAAAGCGCCGTAGCTGGTAGACGCTCACGCCCCTCCAAGGTTTCTCTCGATCCGTGGCTATGGGCGTGAGCGATCGCACCTTGTGTGTTTTCTGTTGAGCAGTGAGTTGGACCCACGCTATCAATACACAACCCTCCAGGTTACACATGCCGCATGGCTATACCCACATCGCGGACCCACGCAACAATACACAACCCTCCAGGTTACACATGCCGCATGGCTAACCCCACCGCGCGCAGGTCTTATAGGCTAGACCCGTCCTGTTTTTGATAGTAGATAGCTGACTTCGGATCTGTGAGGCGTAAACATACGTCCCGGTGGTGGACGTGGCGTTTTCCTCTGATTATTCTCCTAGTTTAAATCGCGTGCGTGAGATCTCTTCCTTGTGTTTCCCCTTTCGCCCGACAACTCCCGGGGTTAGTGTGAGGTATCTCCGCTACGAATTTCCGGCTTAAACGCCTGTGCAGCACGGCCATCTGTCGTCGGAGCACGACCAAGCCGATGTGACGAAGACTGCGCTATTTTGCTTCCCCCTCAGAAGCCGGCGCATCGCCAATCAGTGCTTTACTGGTCTTGTTTAGGTCGTACAGGAGGGTTATTTAGCTTCCTCGTTTTCAAGGGAAGTCCTCACCAAGTGTCGACTACCTTTCCCTCGCTTTACTCCATGCTTGTTGTATTGTGTTATTGCGTCCCATCTACATTACGAACGTTGCAGTGTCCACTCACCCAACGCCTACCCCGTACCCTACGGAAACGATCGTCTTTTTGGGTGTGGCAGCGATCATGGGGGGCTTTGCCACAGGGAATATCCGGGATTTTCTCTCCTCGGAGACCTCCCGGCCGTTGCCGCGCGGTGGCGGCCGTAGAATAATTCGACCTCTGATATAAGTATATATATATTTTTTTTCGTCTCAACGGCAGCGTCTTAACGGCAACACTTCATGTGCAAGGGGACGCTCTTGTGTTTTGTTCTTCGGTCCGATAATGCATCGATGCGGGCGCCTTTCATCTGGGCGTCTTTTGTTTGTGCGCGCGGCCCAACGTTTTCTCCTTCAGATGCAGCTGGCGGGCGAGATCGACCTCTCGGTAGACGTTGATATGTACAACATCGACCTTTTTGGTGAGAGGTGGTGTCCCGAGGGAGTGAGTTCGAAGACGACGCAGCGTCTCGCTGTCGCCGTCATTGGTCAGTGATTGCCACGGACGTTTGTCTCTGTTCCGAAGGGGTGTGATGTTTTCTAGTTGCTCCGCATTCGGACAATAATTTGCCTCCTGTCCAGTTCCGCCAAAATTGTCCTTGCTGGTGCAACGGTCGGCCAAGATCTTCTGTGGAGTCGGCCTCCTGGGAAGAGGCAGGCAGCCGAGAGGAGGCGAACATGAATACAACACCTCTCCACTGCTGAGCAAGAGAGAGAGCTAAAAGATGAAGAGACGGACAGACAGAGGGAAAGGGAGAGAAAGAAACCAACAGGCGCGCAGACAGGCAGACAGATAGGCAGAGAGGCACATGCGGAGAGGGATGGAGAGTAAGGCTATTGTGGGGGAGGCATCGTGACATCGATGGAGACACACCGGGCGATTGTTTATGTTCCACGGTCCCCAGGACATACAGCACCCGTGATCCGTTGGGCGTATTTTTTCCCTCCGTGGTAGGCTCTTCTTGTGTCTGCAAACTACACGTTGCGAGGTGTGACTTCCGCCGCCCGACGTCTACTATTTACTGGCTCTTTTTAGTTCTATCGTACGCTGGTTTGTTGGTTAGCCTGTGGCCACGAAATAACGCGCCCCCGTCCGTCGGACCAGTACGGATTTCAGAAGGTACTGAGCGGAGATCGGACTGGTTTTGATGTGAAGACACACCAAGTGAACATGACAGCTATTTGTTTTTGTCATTTGGGAGCGGAGGTATCTTTTTTCCTTGAGAGGCATTTAGACCCAAGCTGAATTGTTGGCTTGGGGTACGTGTGCACCGTCCGTGGTAGACGTGATTCCCACGCTTAGGCCTGACAGTACGGCGCGTTGGCCGTCTCGTAACGCTGTTGGTAGCAGACTGCGGTCAGGCCTGGGCAGAGGTTCGTGGTACCTAATGAATCCACAGGCGCGGGTTGGGTGGGGGAATCGAGACTTGTCCCGACCCATCTGTTCGATTTTTGCAACTGGATTTGGTTGACCCTCCGCCCCGTGCTAGGCCCTCACCCGCTCCCCACTCTGGTATTGCTTAATTCGAGAGTAACTCCCTTGTGTCTGATAATTCTTGCCCATGCCCCGTCCGCGCACCCCCTCTACATCCAACAGACGCTGCGACCAGCGAAATAGAGGAGCTTCGGGATAGGGACGTCGTTGTTATCTGCTGTGAGTTACAGCCCTCCCAAGGCGTTGTGTGCAATCAGCGGCATACGTTGGATCCTTGTTTGGAACCTCTGATTCGCTTTGTTTTCAAGAGTGACACTGCTGCTGCTGCTGCTGCTCCATCTACCGCTTGCGGTGAATGAAAGTGGCGTAGGTTGTTTGCAGAGCTTTTGACTTCGTGCTGTGGCGACGGCTGTGTCCATGGTCCAACGTGGCTGTCATCATCATGGTTTATGCCCACTGAGACTCCCGGTGGCGAGTGAACGGCAGGGCTGTTGAGCACCTGCGCCTGTGGAAAACGACAAAACAAATGTATGCGTTGCCTTGCTCTTCTTCCGATATAGGTGTGTAGAGCATAACTCCGACTTTCGCTTGCTCGCGACCTGTACGGCACGTGTTCCTACATTTCACCCGACATTTCGACCGGTTGAACAACGAAGGTATTACGCAAATTGCTGCGTGCGTGCGCGTATGTGCGGTGTTACTCTTTCGCGCAGCGTTTTCGGCGGGAACTTTCGAGGAGGGTAGGCTCGATTCAGACGATTTCGAGTCGGACTGGTTGGGGGGCGGGGTGGAGGACGGGTTCGAAGGCGAGAGATGGCTCAACATCACGGCTGAGGTACAGTCAAATGCGGGTCAACTGGCGTCGGTTCGGGTCTTTTTGCCCGTGGCTCTGTGTTTGGCGTCGCTCGGTCGGTATGTTTCGGGCATGACGCGGTCGGACACGCAGAGAAGGAAAAAACGCGTACGAAGCACTAGACAAATCGATCGGGAAGTGCGGCAGTGCGCATTGTATACCGTTTCATTCTGCGGAGTAGGAGTAGGAGAAGGAGGAGGACGTAGCCGGCGCAGTGTCGAGATGCAAGCATGTGTGCCCTCATCAGACAAATACGTTCGTTGCGGTGCTTCATTGCGACCCGAAATCGAGATACCCAGCCGTGATAAAGTCATGTCTACCTGACGAGAACTATGGCTTTTGATTGTTTTGTGTTTCTGGTGCGCTAGAGAAGAAGCGGTTGAACGGCGAACAGGTTGGCTCAATAATTATCACCGCTCGCCTTTAATTGTTGTTGTAGTTCTGGCCGTGGGGAGAGCAGGATACGTAGGGAGTACGCTCTCTCTCAAAAACTTTAAGTTTTTTTCTTCTCCTTTTGTTTAATGTCCTTGCAGGGAGTGCTTACGGTGATGACAGCAAGGCTGGACTTGGCTACGAACAAGAGCTGCCAGGGGGTGGAGCCCAGCAACGTTCAGGTAGGACGGGGGGGGTGAGGGTACCAAACGAATACCATAGTCGTTAGACCATAGACTTCGCATGCCGGAACGGAGCGATTTAAAGGGGGTTTTCGCCGGCTCAGGCTACGTTTCACAAGCATGCGCCAGAAGCTGGCCATCGCCATTGCGTTTGCTGTGCCAACGGGGAGGCCACATAGATGTCATGTCCGGGTTAAATGACGATTTCCATCGGCTTGCGCGATGCGGGCGCTTAGTGACGGCGTCGAACTAGGGTACGGGAGGAGCGGGCACCATCTTGTCTTGCTAGTCGCGGGTTTCAGAGGAGGAGTGGAAGGGGTGCTCAGGAGGGGAGAGGTATGACAGGCGTGTCAGCAGGGCCGGCCTCTTGGGAAATGGTTAACTATTCCAGGACTGCCTAGCTGATAGCCCTCGAAGCCAGAGATCGCGAGCGAAGCACACAGGGATATGGCGAGCAGAACTGAGTGCGTTGTTTAGTATCCAAATACATACCAGCTGTTTCGTACCACATGGCGTTGAGTTTTTTCGGTAGGTGCCCGTTTCTTTTCTGTCTCTCTCCCTCCTCTCTTACCCCCCCGCCCCTTAACCGGCGCTGTTGCTATGACCGCGACAGGTGTACTTGAATGAAAACTCTGGCTTTAACATCACCGCAAGCGATCAGCTGACGTACAACACGTGGCTGGCGGGGCAGGTACGACCAACGCCAACACCTACGTCAACATATGGGACGACCTCAAAGTACATTCCATGTGTGCAATAGCATCAACCCGAAGGCAACACGACATACACCCCTGTTGTTGTGGTTTTTTGTAACCACAGCAGTATGTGCTTCGAAGATTCCATCAACCCCAAAACAAAAGACAGCGAGTTTCGTCTTTTATGCCCCCTCACGTCCTTCCGTACCGTACTCGTGAGGGTACGTAGTTTCCGTCCCGTAGTCATAGCTATGTTGTTGTCGCGGAAGACCGTTTTTTCGAGATACAAACCCCCAATGTCCCCCGTCCCGCCCCGTACTCGTCAGGGTATGGAATTTCCGTACCGTAGTCACAGTCACGTTGTTTTCGCGGAAGACTGTTTTTTCGAGATACAACCCCCAATGTCCCCCGCCTCTTTCGAACAGTCACCTTGGTTCTAACCTTGTTCCAGACCTGTTTATGCTAGTACATCAGGCATCACACCGTTCCCCCTGTCATTCGATGAAAAAAACAGGCGCATGATCGAAATTTGTCGGTCGGGCTCCGGAACGATTGGCTGCAGCTGGACGACCTGGAGCCGTCCTTCGACTGGGCCTTGAGTGAAGACTGTCTTTTCCAGGGGGAGTGCGGGGTGAGTACTATTATCGCGGGACACCGGGGGGACGGGGTGCTGTTCAATTGCTGTGTTCAGCTTTTCTCGGTGAAGTTTTAAGTTGATTGGGGTCGTTGCCATCCATCGCGTGGGCGTACGAGGGTTCGGCGTGTTGAGCGCGGGAAGCTATTCTCGCCTCTTGACATTGCCGTGCTCGTCGTCGTGATGGTCGTCGCATCGGGTTGGTGGGTATCAACTTCTGTGTCGGTGGCTCGTCGCGAGCATGTTTTAGTCGTGATGACTAACAAAGGTCCTTTTTAGGGCCTCTTGAAACACCGACTGATCTGCGAGGTCCCGGGGTGATATCCAACGCAGAGTGTCCTTGAGTGGGAGTCTAGGGCTGACAACAGAGGAGAGACGTCATACGATCCCGATCGCTATGCATATCAGGGTACACCTCGGGAAAATTCCCGCCGTTTTTTTCCCGCCGTGGTGGGCGGTCCCGGTACTGGCGGGAATTACCGCCACATTCGGTGGTACAGTGGGGGGCCCTCTATAGTGCCGGTACGTGCGCAGGGCGTTCACCGGCACTATAGCGGGCACCGGCACAACTGGGAATAGTGCCTCAATAGTGCCAAACGGCACTATTCGGGTGATCGATATCCCTCAGTAGTGCCGGTCTGGCACTACTGAGGCACTGCTGTTTGAGTTCATGGTGTATCGCTTACCATTTGCGAGGCCAACAGAGTAGCATGTGGATCGAGTGTGGTGAATATACTTTGTGGGCGGCAGGGGCAGCCTTTTCTGAGACAAATGTGGGTTCCACTCTGATAGCTGAGTTTGCCGCGAAACCATTCCCGCATGCACGCGCAGAATTCACCTTCGGAGCCAAACCCCGTGTACAGCTCCCGTCCGTGCGACTTAGTATACTTGAAAAAATATCACGTTCCTCGCTGCCTCCCTACGATGTTGCGTGATGAGACACGCCAACAAAACCAATAAACGCGCCAGCAACGAAGCGGACAAAAATAAAACAAAACAAAAAGAAAAAAACTGCGGTATAGCTGTCCCCCCCTCACTCATCAACAAACTCTCTCATGTCTGTCTGGCGCACGCCCTTAGCGGCATGCGCCGCGATCATCGCCATCTTCGCTTTCGATAGGTGGAACGCAGCGTCCCCGTTTCCACTCTCCCGCGCGGCCACCTCCAGGACGCCGAAGTGAGAAGACAGTTCACCGTAAGCCGGTGGGGCGCGGCGGCCGCCCCCCGTGTCCTCATGATCACTGTCCGCCTCATCTTCGGATTCCTCCTCGCGGCAGGTAGATAGGCGCGTTCCCGCCAGCTGTGCCGTCATTTCGTCCGCTGCATCCTGTCGAAAAGCCTCCACCACGTCATCGTCATCCTCGATGGTAGCCCACGCCTGAACTAAGTCCACCGCCTCCTCCGGGGCAGGCTCTCCGGGTGAGACGTTGAGTTCTGCGCACATTTCACTCAGGTCCTCGTCTTCGATGCGAGACCCCTGCTGCTGCGCGTCGTGCACGCTCGTGCTCAACGAGTGGACACTCTTCGTGAGGGACCTCAACGCAGGCTCGTGGATGCGGGCCTGGGTTTTCCCGTGGAGGTTGGTGAGCTCAGCCGCCATCTCCTGCGGAAGCGTGTCGGCTTTGACAAAGCACCTGGTCGCGGGGTTGCCGAGAATACGAACCGCATCCGTTTTTGAGTGCAACGCAGATATTAGACGGACCCAGCGGCAGAAGTTGACTCATCCGCATGCAAAAAAAGAGGAAATTTTTATTGCAAACGAGGGATGCCCCTGCAGGAAACTTTCTCAAAAAAAATCCGTACCACCTCTGCCACGAAACGTGCCACCAAAGCTATTGTGCTAGCACCACCGCCCGAGTTGAAGCCTCTACATAGCAACAGAACATGTTCAAACCTGACCTGGCGATGTCCTGGGGAGTGACGCTGCCCCATGCTTTCTGAAGAAGTTCAGCGGCGTCCCGTAGGTGAGGTTGGTGCCCCTGCGCCAGCCCCATCGTCCCGGCCTTCATCTTACTGGCTTTGGCCTGGGCGCGAAGGGTCTCAGCGACCAACATTGTGGATGCCTTCACGTCGAGCAGCTCCTTCCTGTAGAGGACCTTCGTCTTCGCGATGATCCCCATGTCCATGGGCTGGTGCAGGCTGGTGCAGTTCGGAGGATAGAACTTGATGGTAACTTGCCCACGATCATCAACGAGATCGCCGTGAGAGGAGCAGCCGTCCATCAGGAGCAGCACCTTTTCGTGAGTGAAGCGCCGAATGAACGGGAGGAAGACTTCAAGCCACCACTTGAGGAACGTCGCGGAGTCAGACCACGCGTTGGCCTGCGAGAAGTACTTCAGAGGTGAAGGCGCGTCCGTGAAGCAGCGAGGCACCTTCGACCTCCCGATGATGGCCATGTCCACCTTTGCAGTGCCGTCGGCGTTGCTGCACATGATGGCAGACATCCGATCCTTGAAGTACATGCTCTTGGAGCCCCGCGCCTTCTTGCGGTCCTCCGAGGAGGAAAGATACGTGCGCCTGGGCATAAGCTTCCACTGGATGCCTGTCTCGTCCACGTTGAAGATGAACCTAGCTGGGTACTTCGCGCAAAGGCTCCTGACTTCCTCCATGCCCTTCTCGATGGCCGCTGGGTCGACACTACCAGCCTCGCCATGAAGTCTCGCACTCAGCACCTTGTTGCGCTTCACGAAGTTCTTGGCCCACTTTTCACCGGCCCTGAAGTCCTTGACCCTCGCCCTCACTGCTGCAGAAGTAGCGGGCTCAGCGAGCAGGGTTGCCACGGTGGAACGGCCGAAGCTTCGAAGTACGTCCCGTGTGACGGGCATCTTGGCCTTCCGGGCTTTATCGAGCAGATCAATAACTATCTCATCCACCTGCCGGCGAAAAAGAGTATACAATGCAGAGGTTCAAACGACCAACGATTAGTTTCAAACGTAAGCATCTACACTGCGCGGCGCAGATACGAGGGACGACGCCGCGGTACACCGTAAACAAAGCTGATGTTTTTTAAGTGCCACTACACCCGGAAAGAAAAAATTGCGGGAGGGGAAAGGGAAAGTTGCGAGGAGACGCTCGTACAGGCTACATCTGCTTACATCTGCTTACATCTGCTTGTTTGTTTTGAAAAAAAAGCGGGTGCGAATATGTACACAACAGTGCTCTTTCATTTTCAAGGACAAATAATCGGAAGGTCTATGAGTGTGGACATCGAGGACCTCAAAGGCCAAAGACATAACAAAAAAAGGCAAAGAGAAAGAAAAAAAGGAGGTGACATGAAAAAAAAAAACACCATATGATACATACGAAAAGACGAAAAGGGAAAGGCAAAGAAACAAGGAAGGGCAAAAAAAAAAAAGGTACAGCAGTAGAAATCGGCGACATGAGGGCATTTTTGAAAAATGGCGGGGAAAAACAACGTTCGAGAGGAAATTGCCAGGCATGTCGTGTACTCTACCTACCTCCGGAAAGTCTCCTCTGCGTGCGGTTTTCTGGCTTCCGTCGCCTGCAGCTGCCTTAGCCTCCACTTCCTTCCGTTCAGCTTTCACCTTGCGGACCAGCCGTTCCGAGCACTTAAAGCGATCTGCTATCTGCTCATGAGAAATCTTGGCATCCAGCAGCTTGAGGACCTCAACCTTGTCAGCGTTGCTCAGCCGCGCGCGAGAAGCCTTCTTCCCCCCCCCCTTCTCTGTCGGACGTTTAGATGGTCCCGCCCCAGCATCAACCCCAGCTGCGGTCGCTTTGCGCTTGCCAGTCTTAGCAGCGACGCAAGAACTGCAGATGCGGGATGTTTCGAAGTCACCCTCCACGCTGCCGCAAGTGCCATGGAGCCGCCCGCCACATCCTCCCTTGCAGACGTGGCCATGAGGGGCCTTCGGCGTTCTGTTCTGTTGAAGGCACAGTTCACCTTCCGCACACGGCATGGTGCGCCTCTGCGTAGAGCTGTGTTGGACTGCAGCAGCACGGTGTCTGTGTTTTGGGAGTGGGGTGGTGTGTGTGCGTGCGTGTGTGAACCGGCACTATTGCGGGCTGACGTGGTGCCCAACCGGCACTATACCAGGCCCGCCCTCAATAGTGCCGTTTGGCACTATTGAGGGCGCTTTCTGTGTGGAGAGATTTTACCGGCACTATACCGGCAGTTGGCACTATTCAACCGGCACTATAGAGGGCCCCCCACTGTACCGGGAACCGCCGAAGGCGGTACCAGCCGAAAAACGAAAAACCGCCGACCGCCTACAAAGTACCGCCACATTGCAGTACCGCCGAAAAAGTACCGCCAAAAATCGAAGTACCGGGAACCGCCTAAAAAGAACCGCCATATTGCAGTACCGCCGAAAAAGTACCGCCGTACTGCAGTACCGCCAAAATGGAACCGCCAAAAGAGAGCCGCCATATTGCAGTACCGCCGAAAAAATACCGCCGTACTGCAGTACCGCCAAAATGGTACCGCCATACTTCAGTTTTGCCCTCTAAAGTAGCATAGGGCACTAACTCCAACGCCATGTCTTGCGCAGAACAACAGTGGTTCGAGTCCAACTGGCGTGCGTCTTTGTTCACATTTATTCTTTTTTCTTTTTCTCTTTCGTCATACATGTATATATATATTTATTTTTTTTGGTTCTGCCTTGTTCCTTTTCGGCGAAACCTCTTTCATCTGTCGCCGATCGTCAGCTACCCGTGGCATTCGACGGATCGCGTTTTGGCGCACTCTTCTATTTTTGCATTTTCTTTCTTCTTTTGGTTGCCTTTCGTTTGTCCATGAACAGCTCGATTTGAACATGGGTATGCATCGCATCGTGAAATCACGAAATCATATGGGAGATGCAGGCTCTCAAGCGTACATACAAGAGACAAAAAGAGACCCATCCTGAAAGAGAGGAAAGAGGTTCGCCGGTTGATGGGGCGCCAAGGGCACCGAAATGTAGTTTGGCATCGCCATATTTTATATTTTGATATTCTGGTCTACTCGCAACCCTCGAAGGCGGTACCGCCATATTTCAGTACCGCCAGAAAAATACCGCCATATTTGGCAGTACCGGGAACCGCCGAAGGCGGTACCGCCATATTTCAGTACCGTCAGAAAAATACCGCCGTATTTGGCAGTACCGGGAACCGCCTAAAAACAACCGGCATATTGACGTAGCCAAAAAAGTGCCGCCAGTATTGGCAGTACCGGGAACCGCCAAAGGCGGTACCGCCGGAAAACGAAATACCGCCAACCGCCAAAAAAGTACCGCCACATTGACGTACCGCCCCGCCTGGATCCGCCTAAAAAACTAGTACCGAGGTGTACCCTGATGCATATGGCCTTATGCGGAAAAGCCTACGATGATAGAACGGAGGCGGATCAACGATGTACGATAACAACGTTAAAGATCCTACTGCCAGAAACGATATTCTCTTTCGGAAATGAACACCTATTGCTTTTTACCCCTGTCATCATTTCACTCCGCCAAATAGCCTCACAGGGGGCTCAGCCAGTATATACACCTTTCACGACCACTCGCTGTTTCACTCCAAGTTGGGGGAGTTGTTCACTCCCCGGGGGGATTCCAGCCCATAGCACCTGCCTGCTTGCTCGACTGTTTTCCGCCTTCGGTTTTTCATCACAAAGAGTGTGTTGGTAGTGTCACTCATGGCTGCATTCGCGCATTTTCACTCCTGAGTTGGATAATGTTTTACCCCCGCAGATATTCACCCCCCAGCACCTACCTCCTACAGTGCTTGTGGACTTCAATTTTCGACAAGAGAAGTGTCAAGCAGTCACTCACGACTAGATATGAGCGTTTGTACTCCAAGTTAGGGAAGTTGTTCACTCCGGAGATATCCCTGCGCACAGCACCTATACCTCTTACAGTGCTTGTGGCCTTCAATTTTCGACGAGAGAAGTATTTATCAGTCACTCGCGACTACATATGAGTGGTTTCACACCCAAGTTGAGGACGTGGTTTACTCCGGAAACATTCCTGCGCACAGCACCTACGTCCCACAGTGCTCCTTGCCTTCAATTTTGGACGACAGAGGTGTTAAGCAGTCACTCACGACTACATCATTCGGCATTTTCACTCCAAGTTGGGGACGTTGTTCACTTCGGAGATGTTTCAGAGGACAGCACCCACGTCCTGTGGTGGTGATTGCCCTCAAGTTGTGACGCGAGAAGGGTTGCCCCCTCGCGGCCACATTCGCGCTTCCTTTTGTGTGTTTCTTTCGGAGTTTTTTCACTGAGGAATGTTTCCAGCGCACGGCACCTACCTCCTACGGTGGTTCTGACCTTCAGGTTTTAAGTAGAGAAGGAATAAGCAGTCACTGTGGACCACATTCGCACATTTTCACTCCGAATTTGGGGACTTTTTTCACTCCGGAGAAATTCCAGCGCACAGCACATGCCTTTCGCGGCGCTTCTGCCCTTCACTTGTCGACCACAGAAGGGTGAGCAGTCACGAAGGACTTGCTGGAATGGCCGTTTCACTGGTGGCTTCGGGGCTGTTTTCACACCGCAGAGCTTGTAGCTCACAGTGTTGTATCCAGATGGTTCTACGAGGGCGAGCGCCAACTTGTCGACTCAGCCACACTATAATAGTGTATAGTGTTGTGTGTTGCGGAGCTCTTCGACACCGTGCATCGATGAAGAAATGAAATCACAAACGCCTGCGGTGCGATTTGGCCTTCGATGCACGCCTTTCATTAATGCGTGCGATAGCACCGGCATGCGGAGCGATTTTCCACTGTCAAAGTTGTTGCACAACGCCGCCTTCGATGTCTTCCTGGCATTTGGCAGGCGTACGAGCCTAATTTCGTTTCTGCCGGCAAGGCCGTGCTGGATGTGGAGTACTTTCAGTTCGATCTGGCATTTTGCGACAACGTCACGGCTTCTGGGCTGGACATCATCATCAAGGTGGAGATAATCCAACTGCTGGCTGTGTCGTTTGACTGGCGTTGTTGTGTAGGTTTTCGTTGTGTATCGGTGGCGGCGTTAAGAACGCGCCGCGCATCATGCATGCCCGTTGGCGACCGCACGGCAAGGATTCTTTCATTTCAGTGTATCTCTGATGGGGTACTTGAACGCCACACTGATCCCCCTGCCCTAGTATCCGTCCGTGCGTCGTTTTTTTTGCTTCCGGTGCCCTCACCCTCTTCCCGCTTATCATTCCGACAAGCATGCGTGTAGCTGCTGACTCCGACAGCTATCGTGATACTGCGATATCCTCGCTCTCCCAGCCAGCGAGCCCCACTGAACATGTGGCTCCACCGTCGCGACCTTGCTGTTTTCATTGCCCCCTCCGCAGGACTTGTCACTTGACGCTAGAAGATGCAGCTGCCAGAACCCTTCCACGCACATCGACTGCGACGAGCTCCTTACCCAGAGCCCTACGGTAGCGGCGGACAGCTCATCGTCGTGGGTTATCGCCACCGCGGTGGGCGCGTCGTTGTTCATCATTCTCGCGGCGACGCTGGTGGGCCTGTGGCGACGCAGAAAGGCAGGGGCCGGGGGCGACGGCGGTAACGGGGGATGGGCTAATGAAGGCGACGGGGAGATGTCCGGGATAGGGTTAGGTGGCACCGGTTGAAGGCGGGGATGAGGAGGGCAGGGGCCGCCGGCATGCAACGAGAGAGATAGCGGCGCGTTCCGTTTCTGTGACGGCGGGGGGCAGCCGGAATTTTAGCCAGCATTAGGCGCCAAAGGGTCAAATTTATTGAGGCAGGCAGCACGGACTCTTTTAAACACTCAATCTGCGCGCACACAGGGGCTACGTGGTGGAGGTTTGGGGGGGGAGGGGCATACTGCGTGTTTCATCGTCAGACATATATACCTTTGTTATCGCCACATGGAGGGTGAGAGGAATTTGCTGTGTGCTCCACGCTCGCCCCATTGCCACGCCGAGCTTGCATGGACCCTTGTATTTCCAGATTGACCGCGTTGCGGGACGCGCCTTGTACCCTAGATCTCGTCACTTTCTCTCTCCTTCCCGTGTTGCGTACACCAAGCGACTCATAATTGTAGTACGATAACGTTCAGGTTCTTCAGGCGAGGCTCTTGCAATAGCGATAAATACATAGAGAGGCGAGGTCATTATGGTCGTCCCCATTTTTCTTGGGGTTCGGAATTTTTTTTCTCGCCGTCCTCTTCCCAGGCGTTTGTTTTTTGCTTCAACAAAATAGATTATCACTACCAACCCGGTCCTACCTGGTAGTTTGAAGCTGACTAGCGAGTTACGATATCGGCGTACACTGGTGGACTTTTGAGCAGGTAGACATTATCAGACCTCATTGTTTGTTTTTCTTTGGTGAGATTTATTCCTTTCGTAAGCACCATCCGGGAATGAGATCGTGACTGACACAGTTAAATCGTGGATTTTGTTAAGGATCAAGCAGCGTGCGTGTGTTGAGGCAAGGCAGATGTAGAGGAGCGCGTTGTTCCACCCACCAGGGAAACGTCTTTTTTTGTCGATAAACTTCTTTCTGTCCGTCAAACGATGTGCTTTTTTCTCGGATGGCCAATTTGTCGGCGTTCGTGTTTAGCGTACGCTGCGGGTTTCTCGAGGACGATAGTAGCGAATGGGTGTATCGCACACCATGGTAGAATTTGCCCTAGATGTGTACACTAGCTGTTTACGGCATCGGTAGGCCCGATGTGTGGCGAGAGATGGGGTGACAGATACAGAATACAACCGTATTTTCGGTCATCTGTAACATTCATTGTGATAGCAACTCGACGAGTATCGTCGCGTTGCCTGTCTGAAGCTTTCCAGTTTTTTAGCGGTCAATGAAGTCGAGGGCGCACACCGCGACACGCTCGCCCACCGAGCACGACAAAGAGTTCTGTACACAGAGTATATATGACATAAGATGTCACACCCCCTGAACATTTTTTTTTAGTTTTCAAAGCTCGATTATAACCTTACTCCGCAGCAGAAAGCGTGGCGTGGCCGGGCTGCGTTGGCACCGATAGCTTTCCGAAACAAACCTATCGTTTGACATCCTCGTCGTCGTGGACTAACATTATTAACTGTGAATATCGATGATGCGATATGTTATGTCACCTACTGCCGGTACATGCCATGCATAAGAACAAGGAGCACCCTCCATACTCCAGTAAGTTGTTATTGTATTTATTTAGTATTAGTTGAACTGAAACCTCTCATTATACCCATACATATGCCGGTCGCCCTGGTGGTCTGGTTGGTATCCTCGAAACCTTCTTAAGGTCAGGTCAGAGACTCGAATCCCGGCGTAAGCGAGCTTTTCTTGCAAAGTGAGTTTTTCTCTCGCTTCAGTTTCTAGCCTAGTGGATAGCGCTAGTTCGTGTGTACACACAGGGAAGAGAGTGCTGAACTCTTCTCTCATTAAAAACGAAGGCAAAGTACCGCAGGAGGGGAGGGTAGAAGAGAGGCTCTTCTGTGTGACCACGGGTTGGAGTAAACGACACTACTAGTGCTGTGAGCGCTGATTTAAAGTGAAAAAAAAAAAAAACATGAAGAAGTCGTTTTGTACGCTAATACTTCATAAGTGCTGCAAAAGTTATCCATGGACGAACCCAGCAGTTCCGCTATTATTGTTGTCTTCACAATCAATTACAATCCCGTTCGTTCTGCTCTCTCTACCCAGTACCTTCTTCGTCTGTCCGTACTAATATGTATGATAGTCTGACAAATGACGCGGTCGATCCCCGCCGTGGTCACAGGCTGTCTTGCCCAAAAAAGTTACACGAAAATGAAATTGACCCGAAGAAGGGTCCGCAAGTCAACGACAGATTAGTCCAGGACCCCCCGCTTGCTTCAATACGCTATGCGAGGTAGCAGCCATAGCCTGGACAATAAAGAAAAAAGCAAAAGAATAATAATAGAGGCGACCTCGCGCGCACCCGAAAAAACCGTCAGTCTTCGACCGGCACTTCTCACTACGCCCATCCATGCGCATGCACTTTTTGGTGCCGAGGGACTCCATGCTTTCAAGAATGCCGCCAATCATCTCGTTGATCTTTTTCTGTCGTTTACATACTGATACATACATGTAGTACGCACGTCACACCCGAATGAAAAGGAGACCACACCAGAACGCGCTCTCCGCACGCTGGGAAAGAATCCGGGACTATATGAATGCGGACCCCAGAAGATGCGCTTGCTTTTCTAGAGTAGATTTCCTCTCCGAAACGAAAGAAACGGACGGGAGAGAGGGAAAAAAGAAAAGAGTAGAGGCGTAGTACGCGTTCCCCGTCATGGACATTCAGTAAGAGTCGTATTGTGGTAGTGGCAGGAACCTCTCTCTCTGCGATCAGGTCAGAAGGCCACCAGTCCCCGGGGCTCTTCTGTTGCACCCACCCATGGACGGACGCAGCAGTAGTAGCGCATGTCCTAGACAACTAACTACTGCTGAGAATATTGGAGACCACGAATCAAACCGACAGGTGTGTCGTGGGTGGGCGGGGGACCCTAAGAAACAGCCAGACTCAGCCAGTTTACGTCCTCACAGTTTCTTGCAAGCAAGAACGAAGGGTTATAAAAAAAGAGAGACCGCCAGCGACAGGAAACAAAGAAGTAGAGGAGAGCAGAGCTAAGAAACAAGTGAAAAAACAAGGCCCCCTTGCCGCTCTGACCCACCGGAAGTTTTCCATGTACCGCAGCAAACAGCAGGGGCAGCACCCACTACCTCACAACATGCATACCTGGGTACACGAACTGGGACGTATTGTAGTACGAGTTTAGTAATAACGCCCGGGCGAACTTGAACTTGTAGTCACAAGAAATAGCGTCATGACGACGTACTTCATTCTGCTTGCCGTGGGAGATGCGCATCGTTACGCGAGGAAGGCGTTAACTCCTCGCACAGAACAGTATGCTGCGTAGACAGACCCTATCCCTCAAGCTCAACCACAGCTATACCCGATAGATACATGGTAGCATCATATCCAGCTGTGGAAGAATCGAAAAAAAAACTGTCTTCTTGGTGGCGAAGCGGACCCTCTTTACTTTATTGTGACTCTCCAACTGCTTGCTGTTCGTGGATGGCCACATGGCGACACAGACAGACAAAATCTAGGGGTTGACGTCGGTCTTATCCGCCGCAGGAGGTTGAAGCTATACTCAAAGTCGGGGAGGGGTCGTGATTTGCAATTCCCTACGGAACCGTACTTGAGGCGCAATGAAATTTGCACTGCAGTAGCCGAGGTTGTTAGTCGGCAGGGAAACACAAAAAAAACAAAATTCATGGGTGGGTTGGGTGAGTGGGGGACCCCAAAACAATGAAACAATCGCGGTTCGCGTTGTTCTGGGGCCCTACCGGCGAAAAACATCGTCGCCGCTCTGAACCGCTGGAAGCTGATACACAACAGTGCATGTGCGGCGAACCGTAGGGGCCATGTGCATTGCTTGACGGAAAGAGGCGGCGCCCATCGCCTCACATGCAGCAACCGGGTACACGGGTAGCCTCCTACTCAGCAAGATGCAAAACGATTGCCGTTGACGTTCGATGTTACTGGGACCCTAACGGCGAAAATGCAACAGAGAGAGAGAGAGGTAGACTAAAGGAAGGGAGACTCGAGAAGACAAGGCATGAACTCTTAAGAAGACACCCACTCTCATCCCTCTGGCCCACCGCAGGCTTGAACACGTGTAACGAACGGCGACACCCGATGTGCGCTCAGCAACAACAAACACGACAAAAGAAAAATAATCTAGTCGTCGTTTCCAAACTGCTGTAGGAGATGCTGTAAGTTGGTGGAGACCTTCTTTCTGTTCTGGTATGAAGTGGCAACAAAGAAGAACACGCCTGTAGACTGGAAGCACGACGGACGAACTATTATCTCAATGCGCTTGCTTGCCGTCGCGATAGATGTGCACCGCTACCGCTATACGAACGAGCAGACTGTTGTCAAACCTGACTACGATAACCGTACGACCATTGCAGCACATTCCGAGAATAACAGCAGCAACCGCAGCAGCAGCCGCATGTGTACAGTGGTCACTCAAGAACAAACGCAAAAAATAAATAAAAAAAGAGTGTGGCGCGCAGCACGCAGGACCCTCTATCGTTGTTCAACCGGCCGTTCTCATGGCGAAACAGGGCAAGGAACAGTCAAGGTCGACTCTTGCCGGCCACAGGAGGCGGAAGCTGCTCAAACTCGGGGGCGCAACGAAGTTTGCGATTCCACACCGAACCATACTCCAGGCGCCACGAGATTTACACTGTAGCTCGAGATCGGCATTTGAGGCAGGGTCGGGCAAGGGGTGGGCTATGCGAATAAAAGTTCCACGGATATTGAAAGATGAGACTGAAGTTAAAGCTTCAGAATTTAACATCGATCGTTTCAATCGCGTTTTTGCCTCGACCAATGGCATGGAGCAGGTGCCCCCGCATTGAGCCACCAACGAATCCCGCTGCCGCCTTTTGAGAGTTCCCACAGTTGCGGCGGCTTCTGGCTCTCTTCGTAACATCGGCGTCCCAGGAACTGTGTGTTATATTTGCTGTAAGGTCAATGGGTACAAGCTTCTGCACATGTCGTTGACAACAGCCTTTCAAAATGGCGGCGTTGAGTCTTTCGCCGACCGAAATTCCTGGCCAGGCACGCATGCAGAGGTTGGCGGGGCGAACGAACGGGCTTGGACCTACCCGGGCAGCTGCACTAACTCACTAGATGCCGTGACCGTACAATGTGACGCAGCGACTTTAAAGCATCCCTACCACAATGAACGGTAACGGTGACGCTTGCTATCGGATGTTCGCACTACTGTAGTACTTGCTTGCCGGCGAGTGAAACTGGTAGGTGTCGGTTCGCACATCGCCGAAACGACGGGGCGGCGGACGCCAGTTCACAATGGGCGGGGCGCCCCGCTTGCCGAGTGTATCCAATCTGGGCTGTCCGCGCGAATGGCATCACCGGCCCCCCACCGACGAAGAAAGAAATAATCAGGACATTTCAAACTTATAGAAAAATATGGTGCAGACGTCAAGCATTGTCTAGCACCTTGAAGATGGGGTTAGGGTTGGTACTGTTCTGGATGAATGGCATGTTGATTGTCCATCTGGGATAAACAAACGCGAGAGCGTCAGAACACGTGCGGGTCGTCGTGAAAAACTTGGCGAACTTATGCATCGGTTAGCCACTTGCGTTTCGACGTGTGACTGAGGTCATCGCATGCTTTCCACACGTTAGTAACATCGGGTCACGACGTCGGGCTTCACCTTTCTCGCTTTTGCACAGCATAGCTCAAAACAGAAACAGCGGGGGCGAACGACATCACCGACCTTCGCTACGAAATAATACCGAGAGAGAGAGAGAGAGAGAGAGAGAGAGAGAGGGAAAGGGCACTCGACACACGTACTTATCCAAAATCGTAA